GGCCAGCACCGTTTCTCTCGCTCTTCTATGACATTATATTGCCGGCCAACCCCCCAAATGTGAGGGTTCTTCCTGATTTGAAGGGGCTCTCCGTTCCCGATTGTTCCTCTCTGGTCTGCTTGTAATTTCTTTTCCTTAAGTTAAAAGTATTTCCTTTGTCCAGTCGTCTTCTTTTTGCTGATATTTCTTTTCCCTCATCTTAGACAGTATGAAAAGTTTTCGTTAATCCCGCTCTCTTCAAGTCTCCTCTTCATTGGGTTTCTTGCAGTCAGCAAATAAATGGCTTTTCGTAACTTGCGTTTCTTTGTATTTCCAACACATGTAGCCAAACTAACTGTCGATTTCCACCTGATTTCGTGCCCCATTCGTGCGATTTGTTCCGCTATTTCGGACCTTTCAAAGTCCATATTTCTGCAGAGTCTTTGGTGTTCCTTGATTCTTTTGTTATCACCTTGATATTCCATTCTCTTAGCAACGGTCACAATTTCTAGCTCAGTTCACAGGAAGACAAGCATATCCACTTTTTGTCGTCTTCCCGACTTATGATCTTAGTTTCATAAAATCCTAGTTGAAACCTGCTCTTTATGACCCCTATATTTCTTTCTATAAATTCTCACCATTGTATGTGAAATCCAACGAAAACCTTATGGATACCCATCAGATTGTGCGAAAATTCAACTACCAGTCCCCCAATCACCCCGACCCAAAATAGGATGACCACATCTCCCATTATATTTACTTTTACTATCTGCCGAGTGGATATGTTTCGAGACTATCAGCTGACCTTAGGCCGATGTGACAATTGCTAATTGCAACTGCTACTATGGCATTATCATCTCAAGCGGATTGTGCCAACGCAAGTTGTCATGACAGATTTGCCGCTGTCCCCTCCTAGAGAACACGGCTGTGTGAAGTCGAGCGTAAACGTGTCGTCGACTCAAGTGATTTGGTACATATTGAACTATCACTCCTTGATCAGCTTAAACGAACCTGGGGGAATATAACTCACAGATATGATCTACAGAAAGACTATAAAGCCTACTCTAAAATAAATATATGTAGATACGAAGAGAAACTTTGTTTCGATGAATCTCCTGAGATAACATTGTTAGGGGGACCTTCATTTCGAATGAAAGTGCATGAAGAAGAGATTCGTTGGTCGATCTCACCAGATGAGGACGGAGGAATCTCGTTGTACTGCAGCCGTTTGGCTTTTATACCATATTCATGTTGACTTCCTTCCTCGTTTTATCTGATGGACATCATCAGAGCTGGGTGTCATTCTGGCAAAAGTGTCAAGTTAACACTAAGGCAAGAACACTATCCGGCTCTATCCTACTTCTTCTATAGACTCAATCGATCCCAAAAATTCAAAATTCAAAACCTAGAAAGATCGATATAGAGTCGTTTGGTTAATTTTCTTTCACACTGATTCTGTCATTTTTGCTCGATTGTATGTGAAATTCCGTAAAAGCCTCACGTCTACTCGTCAGATTGGCGGGAAATTGAACTACTCCCTACGCGAAATTGGCCGAATTCACCTCGTCTCAGGCAGACTTAAACCTCGATTCAAAGGTCTTGACAGTATTTACCTGAAAGTTCGGCAGCCCAACGCACTGGCTGAACTCTGTACAATTGTTCTCCGGGCATCGGTACTTCTTCGCCTTGGCGCCAGAGCACTTGTCCTCACGTCCGGGACACCTCCACGGGCCCCAAGTGGCCTTTTGTTCGCACGCCTCTTCCGCCAGTCTGGTCGAACCGCCCGTGGACAGACAGCAGAGCGCCAGAAGAGTGCGAATAAAGCCTTTCTGGCCTCGGCCTGGTCGGATCATCGTCTGCCTGGCCGCCTGAAGGACAGTTGAACTGAGGTTCAGTATCGATCGTCCTTCTGCCGTGATCTGATTGGCCGACACTGGCTGATGGCACGACGGCCCTTGCCAGCTGGACCAATAGGAGGAGGGCATGACAGGAAGACTTGAGTATGAGATGCATTCACCATATTTCGTCGAAGCTGATGAAGGACTGGTGGTAGCCTCGAAAGTCTACTCTAATACGAAAAGGAAGACTTGACACAAACGGTGATCCGGCGAGTTTTGCCTGCCTCACCGACCGCCATGTTGGGTCGGGGCCAGGACCCATCGACAGGCAGCCACTCGAAGTCTACCGCTTGCCACAAGCAAGACGGAAGACGATGTGTTGATCGGCTTCTCGCTTCAACTCGCCAGTGACTTGGTACAGCCGCAAATATGGCTACAATAGCGGCAAGGTGTCGGAAGTAGACAGTGAAATGGAGGAAGAAAAGCTGGTTTTCCAAGAATCCCATAATAATGCACGCCATTTCGTCTGAGGTGATGAAGGACTTGTGGTTCAACTTTCCCACAAGGATACGAGTGGGAAAATTTGACTACTACGAAATAGGGTGAACACGACGCATGGATCTGATGTATAGATAGTCTCGAAAGCCTCGGCAAAAACGAATTATTTGGAGGGATTGTCGATGAAGAAAAGTTATATTTGTCGTTACATATTTTTCATTCATAAGTGGGCTTTCGAGACTAGCAGTCAACCAGTTGTATGACACCAAGTATGAACGGAAAATTAATTTTCAACACAACTCAATGTGCCTCACCCCACGACGATCATTTCTAGGCTTCCGGCGAGGACAATTCACAATTACTTTCCGAGCAACGCTTTTTTTCGGTACCCAAAGTGCCTTTGATTATGTGCAATTTCATCTATCCGTCTTTTATCACTTTGTCACTACATTTCTTATTCACGATTTATTTTGTCTAATTTGCCTTGGACATGCTGTTGTGCCTTAGAATTCGCTTTTGAAGAGAGGCTTTGTTTGGCCGCCACAGAGCCATGAAGAAGATTGTCATGATGATGTGTCCTGTGACTCCGATCGATTAAAGCCCTGACAACAAGACCAAGTTGCGACAACAAAGTCAACCCACTTCTAAGCAAAATGTCCAATAAACTAGACCATGAAAGGTTTCTGGCTGCACTCATACTCCATTTTAATGTATTCAGAGTGGGAAAATTGCGAAACCATGGGTATCGCAACCTGAACCTCATGTTCGACCTCGCCTGACATCTACTTATAACATGATTGTGGAATAATCCCAGAATCAGTCAATGAATCATCTTTACATTTCTGGGGGGGACTAGGCTTTTATTGGATAATTACTGATTGTTTCACAATCTACTCCAATTGAGGATAATTGGCAACTCTCCTTCCACCTCTTCATAATGTTGCTTGTTGTGCCACATTCTAATCGCTCGTCCGCCATATCTTCACATTCGCAAAACGTTTGTCACTGGAACACCAAATCTGGTCTTCTGCATTGGTGCGATGCTCAACTCCGTCTGACCTCTCAACCCACAAACCATTGCTGGCGACTTTGTGTCCACCGAATGGATCGGCAGGTCGCCTCTGCACATACGCTTCCACATGAACACGAAATTCTACGACAACCTCATCTGAATGGGGGGTGCGAAGATTCTCAGAAAGCAGTTACGACTGATGGAAGTGTTCGTTTCACCTTGGACACTATCTTAACGTGCTGGATCGTCGACATCTCGCCAATCCCTCTCGAAAAATGATGGCACGGTAACCGCAGGAACCCCCATGTCTGTCAGAGTCCCTGTTTTGCACCAAATAACTATTTACCCTTAACCTATCTCTTAATATAGTACAATAACGGTCATTTAAACCAATTGGATAAGATTGTGATACTAAAATTTTTCATCACTTAACTTACACTTGATCATGTACTTTGCTTCCGCCCAAATTTCATAATAAAGTCTAATTGTAAATAATTGAAGTGGCGCGATGCACAATGCATCACGCACTGAAATTGCGGGTGTATGTCACAATCTGCTTGACCTGAGGCTCATGGAAAACCATGCAGAGTTGCACTCATTAATTAGAATTAAAACCTGACCCAGGCAAATCTTGTCTGAAGCTCATTTGGC